AAAATCCTTGGATGGGTGCAGTGGCTCATGCCTGTAATCTCAGCACCTTTGGAGGCCAAGGCAGGAAGATCACTTGATGCCAGGAGTTTGAGACCAGCCTGGGCAACATAGCGAGACACTGTCTCTACCGAAAAAAAATTAGCTAGGTACAGTGGTACATGCCTGTAGTTCCAGCTACTAAGGGAGGCTGAGGTGGGGGGATCATTTGAGCCGAAGAGTTCAAGGCTGCAGTGAGCTATGATTGTGCCACTGTACTCTGAGTGACAGAGTGAGACCCTGACTAAAAAAAACCCTTGCAGGCAGGTGTGGTGGCTCACGTCTGTAATTCTAGCACTTTGGGTGGCCAAGGCAGGCAGATCACGAGGTCAAGAGATTGAGACCATGCTGGCCAACATGGTGAAACCCCATCTCTACTAAAAATACAAAAATTAGCTGGGTGTGGTGGTGCATGCCTGTAGTCCCAGCCACTTGGGAGGCTGAGGCAGGAGAATTGATTGAACCCAGGAGGCAGAGATTGCAGTGAGCTGAGATCACATCACTGCACTCCAGCCTGGGTACAGAGCAAGACTCCATTAAAAAAAAAAAAAACCCTTGCAAATTTGATAAGTGAATAAGTGAATCATTACCTTTTTGGTGTTCAGTAGATTCTTAGAGGACCAATAGGCATAGTTTCATCAGGTCAGTCCAATCTGACTGGTGAACTCCTCTACTGATCAGAGTGTCTCCTTCACTACATTGATGTGGTTTGGCCATTATTGCTTTTTACGCTCCTGGGAGTCTCTCCTCCTTTTGGTTACGGTCTCCCCATTTTCCTCTGCAAGGTTCCCTTTGGGAACATTTTGCAAGATTCCCTTTGGGGAACACTCCTCCCCATGTGGGTCCATGTGTTCCAAATGGGCCTAGTCTACCCCTGAATTCCAGGGATGGGCATTGAAACCCTATCCTGGCCAATCAGGACAGAAATTGGTTTGGTGATGGGCATTTCACCCAAGAGAGGCAATGAGTGCCTTTTGCTGGAATAAATGGGAAAGAAGCCCTCTTTCCTATTACAGCGTTGAGGATAGGGAACTGAAGCTGAAGAATGAAGGCCTGGAGCTGGCTGTTGCTGTCTTTGCCATTCAAGGGGAGAGCCCAATTGACATGGAAGTCAACATTAGTTAAGAGATGCCTTTGATGAAAATTTCTGGAAAAAAAAATGCCAAGAAATGGAGAAGATACATACCTGGAGATTTTTTTGAGCTCCTGGGTTCAGCTGCCTGGGTTTTCTGTTAATGAGGCAACAAATCCTCCCTTTTAAAAAGCCAGTTTGAGCTAGGTTTCTATTATATGCAACTGAAAAAGTCCTATGGTTTTGCATGGTGTTCAGAAAAGGCAAATGTGCTTAATTTGTTACAGAATCATAGGTTCTAAAAGTTGAAGAATCTTTACCATCTTCTTCTTCCATGTTTTATACACAGACCTACATGGATTTTAGTGAGATATCAGTCCAGTCTTTGCTCACTTTGACAGTGAGTACATCCAAGGATGGAGCACTCACTGTCTTAATAGGTCATCTGTACCATCATTGGAGAGTTAGTGCTGAAGGAGAGATTTTTGCTTTTTGTTTTCTCATTAACTGGAAGAACTAAATAAACTATCCCCTATGCCCAAAAATAAAGACAAAGAATAAGAATAACCTAATCTGATGAACGAACTAATTTGGACAAATTATTGGCTATGTAAAAGGAGAGGCTAAGTTTAGGGGCAGGACAGAGCTACATGAGTGGAATAAGAAAATGAGGTTTTTGTTTGCTTGTCTGTTTTTGTTTTTGAGAATTTGAGGATCAGGAAGAGAGGGCTGGAGAAGAAAGAGGAGAGAAAGGAAAGTCAAAAACAACATGGCATAGTAGAAAGGTAATGACAAGAATTTAGTACTAAATTTGGGGAGTTTCCTGTGGTTATACTAAATCTCATGACAGTAAAGTTTGGTTAACAAATGCCCCTGGTGAGTGACTTGTTTTCTGTGTGTATGTCTTACTTATAGAGAGGATTGAGAACCAGGTGCAGGACAGGGATAATACACGTGGCATGTGTGGTGATCTACAAGCTAAATTCAGAGAGTGGAAGCAGAAACTTAGAGGCAGAAGTGATCATGACAATGTAATTGCCCTGGGGATTTTCTGTAATCTCTGGGAATATTTTGGGGAATCTTTGGGAATGAGTCCTTGAGCCAGTCTTATCTAGTCTTTAAGGGGCAGAGAGATCCCCAGCTAACAACTGGATCATACTCAAAATCCAGTCTTATTATAATATAATTTTATCTTATATTAAGACAAAATTAGCCACTCTAAAGCCTGCCTATGATCAAAGGTATTTGCCTTTGAGGGCCATGGAGAATCTCCTCCCTTTGCTCCACATGACTGTAACTTTATCATCTGACTTTGGAGTCAGAACCAACTTTGAATCTGGGACAAACCAAGTTTGTCCCTGACTATGTGACCATGGAATTTGTAATCTAGTGGAAGGAGACTGAAAATAAACAAATGAATAAAATATGTAGTATTACAGATGGAGATAAGTGTTATGGAGATAAAGCAGGTAACAGGGAGACAAAGTAGGTAAGAAGAGTGCCATGGGGATTATTTGCCATTAAATTAAATTAATTAATTATTTATTGAGACAGAGTCTTACTTTGTGGCCTAAGCTGGCATACAGTGGTGCCATCTCAGCTCACTGAAACCTCTGCCTCCCAGGTTCAAGCAATTGTCCTGCCTCAGCATTCCTAGTAACTGGGATTACAGGCACCTACCACCATGCCTGGCTAATTTTTGTATTTTTAGTAGAGATGTTGGTCAGGCTGGTCTTGAACTCCTGACCTCAGGTGATCCACCCACCTGGGACTCTCAAAGTGCTGGGATTACAGGCGTGAGCCACCATGCCTGGCCTATTTGCCATTTTATATAGGGTGGATGGGAAGCTTCACTGATAAGGCAATATCTGAACAGAGATCTACAAGAAGGGAGGAAGTAAGTCCTGCCTATACTTGAGGGAAGAATGTTTCAGGCATGGGGTAAAGCAACTGTAAAGGCTCTCAAGTAAGAGTACATAAGGTGTGTTTAGCCAAAAGGAAGCCAATGACTGAAACAAAATAAATTTTCCCTCACCAAGCCTCAGTTTCTCATTTATAAAATGTAGATGATGATAGTACCTACATCACAGAGTGGATGTGATGAATTAATGTGACAATTCTTAGCACAGTGCTCACACCTTGTAACCTATTGTTTTTTTTTTTTTTTTTGAGACAGGATCTCTCTCTGTTATCCAGGCTGGAGTGCAGTGGCACAATCTCGGCTCACTGCAACCTCTGCCTTCCGGGTTCAAGGGATTCTCCTGCCTCAGCCTCCTGAGTAGCTGTGATTACATGTGTGTGCCACCATGCCTGGCTAATTTTTTGTATTTTTAGTAAAGGCGAGGTGTCACCATGTTGGTCAGGCTGGTCTTGAACTCCTGACCTTGTGATTCACCCGCCTCCCAAAATGCTGGGATTACAGGTGTGAGTCACCTCCCCCACCCATAATCTATTGTTATTAAGATGACAGCTTAGTCTTCAACCTTGTCAACCATTCTTTCCTGATAATGATTTGTTATTCTCCCTCCATCCCAGTTCTGTTTCTCTGATTCATGCTCTTTTAGCCTATAATCTTTCTACTGCACTTTGTTAATCGGTCACTAAATGTACCAGCACCTACTATATTGCTACATACTAGGTTGTAGGACTTTCTTAAGATGCTCACTGTCCCATGGGGGAGAGAACAGCTGTACATTGGTAGCCACTGTATAAAGCAGAGCAGGCCCAAGAGAATAACAAGTGCAGTGCTCTGGGAGTTTAGAGGTGAGCTCATGGAAGGCTTTCTGGAAGAGGTGGCACTTGGGCTGACCTTTGAGGATAGATGAAGATAAGGTGGAGAGGGCATTCCAGGAAGAAGTAAAGGTGTGAGACGTTAGCATGCCCAAGTCACCAGTGGGGAGGGGGAAACCGCCTGATATAGTACAAGCATGGTATGTTGGAAGGGAAGAATTGGGGAGCAGATTCTAAAGCGACTTAATTAAGCTGGGGAGTTTGGATGTATTCTGAGAATGATAGAAAGCCACTGGACAATTTTACGCAGGGAGTGATACAGTCACAATGTTTTCAAATGAAATCTCTCATTGTAGTGGAGGACAGTTTAGAGTCAGCAGGGATGGGGGTGGGGAGGAGTGAGATGGGGTGACCCAGGAGGCTAACAGCTATCATCCTGGGTACTGATGAAGCCTTAGGAATGGAAATCGAGAGGAGTGATGATAGAAATGCAGGGAGAAGGCCAGGCGTGGTGGCTCATGCCTGTAATCCCAGCACTTTGGGAGGCTGAGGTGGGCAGATCATGAGGTCAAGAGACCAAGACAATCCTGGCCAACATGATGAAACCCCA